CCTCAGCCTCCCGAGTAGCTGGGACTATACGCTTGTGACACCACACCCAGCTAATTTTTTCTAGTTTTAGTAGAGATGCCGTTTGACTCTTGCTCAGGCTGGTCTCGAACTCCTGACCTCAAGCAATCTTCCCGCCTCAGCCTCCCAGAGTGCTAGGATTACAGGTGGGAGCCACCGCGCCCGGCCATGCATAGATCTCAAGCATACAATTGAATGAGTTTTGGTAAATACACAGCCACACGCCTACCAAGATAAAGAGCATTACCATCACTCTCAAAAGTTCTTTTGTGCCCCTTTTCAAGAAGCCAGTCTCTATGCCACACAGGGAACCACTGTTCTGCTGTCACTATAAATTAAATTTTGGCCGGGCGAGGTGGCTCACACCTGTAATCCTAGCACTCTGGGAAGCAAAGGCAGGCAGATCGCCCAAGGTCAGGAGTTCAAAACCAGCCTGAGCAAGAGCAAGACCCTGGCCTCTACTAAAAATAGAAAGAAATTAATTGGCCAACTAAAAATACATAGAAAAAAATTAGCCGGGCATGGTGGTGCATGCCTGTAGTCCCAGCTACTCGGGAGGCTGAGGCAGGAGGATCGCTTGAGCCCAGGAGTTTGAGGTTGCTGTGAGCTAGGCTGACGCCACGGCACTCACTCTAGCCTGGGCAACAGAGCGAGACTCTGTCTCAAAAATAAATTAATAATTAATTTAATTAACAATTAATTAAATTAATTGATTAAGTTTTATATAAATGGAATCATGAATCGTGTAGTGTTTCACTCCACACACTGTGAGATTTCATCCGTGCTGGTGTATCAGTATTTCAGTCCTTTTTGCTGCTCTATAGTGGTCCACTACCTGCATGTACCACAGTTTGTGCATGTCCATGGATACCTGGGCTGTTCCTGGTCTTTGCCGTCGTACCTAGAGCATCTGTGAAGTCTTCTTATGGAAATTGTTCTCATTTCTTTGGGGGAAATCCTGAAGAATGTGACCGTCGATGACCTGGCTTCCCAAATTCTGACAAAATGAAGTATTTTCATTGCTCTGCTAAAGCCACGGGATCCTTCCTCCACTGAAAAGTATATTGTCACTTATACGTCTAGCAGATATCTTTTCCTGGTTTGTAACTTTTTTTTTTTCTTCCCCCTTTAAGATCAAAGTTATTATTCAACATCCCAATTTGCACAACCCAGAATCTGCCAAAAAATCAAACAAACCATTGGCAGGGATGAGAGTCAGGCAAGAGGGACGCCTTAAAGAGCCACATTTAAACATCAAAGGCATTCCTACACGCGACAATGTGCAATGACAGAAATAATAGGGAAAAGATCCCATTCGCCATACCTACAAGTAAATCCAGCAAGAAATGTATGAGACCTAGACTAAGAACACTGTAAACTTGATCAAAGGATTTAAGAGAGGACTTGAATCAGTGAAAAGGTAAAAGACACACTGGAACGAAGTTAAAAGGCAAATGACAGACTGAGAGATGATACTGATCGCATCTGTCAAAGGCAAAGGACTCTCGTTTAATAAAATTACACCTTCGGATCAGTGAGGGGAACAACACAGGCCGGGAGAGGAGGCTCTCACCTTTAATCCGAGCACTCTGGGAGGCCCAGGCCGGAGGATTCGGTTTATGATTTTTATGAAGGTTCAACTTATGATTATTCGACTTTACAATGGGGCAGAAGCAATGCACGGTCAGTAGAAATCATACTCTGAGTGCTCATGCAACCATTCTGGGTTTTATTTTATTTTATTTTTTTTGGTCCCCCCAGGAGGGTGCATCATTCCTGGAGGTACTGCAATACCAGGCTGATGAGTGGAGTGGATGGAGCAGGACCCTGTTCCATCTCTCCGCTCCAAATATCCATTTAATGGGGCCTGGTGTGGTGGCTCACACCTGTAAATCCTAGCACTCTGGGAGGCTGAGGCGGGAGGATCGCTCTAGGTCAGGAGTTCGAGACCAGCCTGAGCAACAGCAAGACACCCCCCCCCCCATCTCTACTAAAGAAATACAAAGAAATCATCTGGACAACTAAAAATATATAGAAAAAATTAGCCGGGCGTAGTGGCGCATGCCTGTAGTCCCAGCTACTCGGGAGGCTGAGGCAGGAGGATCGCTTGAGCCCAGGAGTCTGAGGTTGCTGTGAGCTAGGCTGACGCCACCACACTGTAGCCGGGGCAACAGAGTGAGACTCTGTCTCAAAAAAAAAACAAAGAAAAGAAACATGCCATGTATGAAGAAGTATGTCTGTCACACAAGCAGCTGCCAACAGAACCTGGCCTCCAGTGCTGTGCTCTCAGTTTCAACGTCCAACTTTCTCTCGATGCCCTTTAGAAGTCCCCAGCCCTTTGCTGGGAAAAAAAAGAGCCTGTCTGGTTGCCCCTCCACCAGCCCTCTCTGCCTTTTTAAAAATTTATTTATTTTAGCGTAGTATGGGGGTACAAGTGTTAAGGTTACATATATTGCCCATGCCCCCCGCGCCCCTCGAGTAAGCACTTCAAGCGTGTCCATCCCCCAAACGTTGCACATCTTCCTCATTGTGGTTGTACTGTCTGCCTTTTGTTCCGGCAAACCCCACACCCCGCCCCACCCCTTCAGCCTGGCCTTCAGAAGTTCCTCTTTCGGGCTCCTGCCAATGTCTGCGGGCCGGGGACCAAGAGCCGAGGGGCCAGCACCGCGCTGACCACCCGTGTGCAAGGGACGGGGGCCGGACGGGGCCTGCAGGCCCCACGCTGCAAGCCGTGCGTCCTTGTCCAGGGCAGGCCAGCAGGGAGTCCCTTCTGAATGGCCTCGTGGGGACAGTCCTTGCAGACGCCTTGCAGGACAGGCCTGTCGCCTTCCCCAGGGGCTCTGGCCCACGCGGGACGGTGACAGCCCTTCTCTGGGACGAGGGCGCTGCATGGCTCGGCCTCCTCTTTTGCAAAAGGGGTTAGGGGGATGCTCCTGAGATTTGTATTCTCTGCCTCCTCTTTTGCAAAAGGGGTTAGGGGGACAGCCCTGAGATTTTTATTCTCTGCCTCCTCTTTTGCAAAAGGGGTTAGGGGGATGCTCCTGAGATTTGTATTCTCGGCCTCCTCTTTTGCAAAAGGGGTTAGGGGGACAGCCCTGAGACTTGTATTCTCGGCCTCCTCTTTTGCAAAAGGGGTTAGGGGGACAGCCCTGAGGTTTGTATTCTCGGCCTCCTCTTTTGCAAAAGGGGTTAGGGGGACAGCCCTGAGATTTGTATTCTCCGCCTCCTCTTTTGCAAAAGGGGTTAGGGGGACAGCCCTGAGATTTGTATTTTCCTTTACGAGGGAGAAGGGGAAATCAGCTGAGCTGAGCCTGGCGACAGCAGGGACTCGGCCACCCGTGTCGCCCAGGCCCCGGGTCGGTGACACCCACCAAGCGCCTGGCCCACCTGCTCGGGGCCGAAGCCACGCCCAGCAGTGGCCCGGCTAAAGCGACCTCTCGGGCTCCCCACTCAGGCCCCTAAAATGATGGGCAGCCGGGCGGAGACGCGGAGCATAAGACGACAAGGCGCAAAATGGAAAGAGCTTGGACGCTCGGTTGAGGCACCGCTGGGATTCGAACCCAGGATCTCCTGTTTACTAGACAGGCGCTTTAACCAACTAAGCCACGGCGCCTCCCGCACACGCTCAGCGCGAATCTCCTCCCATCACCGTTGGCGAGCGGCCGCGCGCATGCGCACAGGCCCCGCCGGCCGCCGGCGCACACGTGGCGCGGGGCGTGGGGTCACCGGCACCACCGCGGCGGCTGGGGGCGCGGCGCGGGGACTGGAGCTCGGGCGGCGGGGGTCACGCAGGGCCCCCGGAGAGCCGGGCTCCGGGTCGGAGGGTGGTGTCTCCAAAGGGGTCCGGGACGCCGGCACGCTGGGGGCCGTGCGCACGCGCGCGCGCAGGGTCCCGGCCTTCTGCCCGCCGGAAGTGGGAGGGTCCCGCCTGGCCCCCGCGTGTGGGTCGGGGCGTCCCTGGGTCGTGCGTGACAGTCCGGGGACAGCCCCCACCGGAGCGGGGCCGGGACTTCGCAGCCCGGACCCTCACCTGGCTACCTGGGTCTCCTCCCGGCAAGCCCACCTGGCCCGTGTCCCCGCCCCGCCGACCTGCCCACCCAGCGCGCCCCCAGCGGGCGCCCCTCCCGCGGACACTGAGTCCGCAGAAGCGCACGCGCAGGAGGGTCCGCCCCCGGCCTCACCTGGAACGCCACCGCAGGTGCCCGCCAGTGGGGCGGTGGGGATGGATACAGCTAGGCCTGCGCCTGTGTGGGAAGGAGGGAGGCCACGGGCAACAGGGCGCCTCTGCGAGGGGGACCCCGGTTGGCGGGAGGGCGTCCCTGGAGCTTTGGCAGGTTCGTGCATCACTCACATAGGTAAACAGGTAAACTGAAATACTGAACGGCCAGCTTGAGGGTGAGCAGTCACCTGGGCTGTGACCCGGGAGACCGGCACCAAATGTGGCACCTGTCCCCCCCTCCCCCAGCTATGTGCAGTGACTGGATCCCAGACATCCACACTGTGCAAATCAGGCCTGCAGGTAAGTCTGCAAAAAATGGACCAAGGGAAATATTAATGACGCTTGACAAAAAGCACGGGAGCCACACACGTACCAGATGGAACTGAAAACTTCCTGAGTCGGTTTAGGCAGCAGGATGTGTCCCCTGGCAGCAGGGAGAGGGTTGCACGTGGGCAACCTGGAAACGGAGAGGTCCAGGGTAGGGACGGATGCACACGGGGACCTGAAGCTAGAAACAGCAGTGCTGCTTCTTTGTTGTTGTTTTTTCACTGTATATTTTTTAATATAAGTAAGAAACGAGGGATTCACTCCTCTTTGAATTCTAGCTTTTGTTACACATGATGAAAAAGGAAAGAGAGAATTTCTGAAAATAATTTGAAGAAACTTCTCAAAGAAAAAATGGATTTTATGATACAGGAAACATTTCTTTCTCCTGTTGCTAATTAGAAGCAATGCTGCTTCTAGGATGCATACGGACACTTGCTTTCCAAAGGAATCTAGATTTATTTTTCTTGAAAGCTAAGAATAAATTGTTTTGCTCCCCAGGGGAGTGGGGAGCCCGGGCAGGGCTCGGCCCTGCTGGCCTGACAGGCTCGCTCGGCTGGGAGGGGCCCAAGAGAAAGATCCCTGCGGAGGCCGAAAGCTACATGACAGGTGGGTGGCCTGTGCTCAAGTCACTCGGAGGGCCCTGTGGCCGTCAGTCATCAGTGCTCCCCGTGGGTGGCGGCATGGGTGACGAGTTCTCCTGTTCCGATGAGGACGATGAACTCTCGTCCGGCAAGTCCTTTGCTTCTCTCCGGCAGAACACACATTCGTTGAATATTTCGGAAGAGGTGTCACCCTCAAAGATGGAGAAAGGCCTGTCACATCCTACGCACTGGCACGAAATATTGGAAAAGAGCAGAAAGGAGGTGCAGGTCAGAGGGGATCGGGCGGGAGGTGAGAATTCCACCACCCCCCTGCCCTGCCGCCCAACTACCTGGGCTGGGCCACCGTGAGAGCTCCCCTCTCTGGAGTTTCTAAGCTGCCAAGGTGGCGACCCCTCACCTCCCTGTCCTGCGGTGCTGCTTTCAACGTAGCCATTCCCAGAAGAGGGGGCCCCAGCCGGGCCTTCTAGGAAGGGACCAGTCTTGTGACTCCAGGATTCAGAGGGAAGGGGGACTCAAGAGGGCCCAGCACACGCCCCTCAGCCTCTGAGCAGCAGCCAGGCGTGTGCACCGTGAGGCCCCAGCAGGGATGGCTTCTGTGGCCTGCACCGGCCGGTGAGGCCTTTGGAAAGCAAGGGCCACCAAGCTCTTGCACTAGGGAAACACGGGTGCCTGAGCCTCTTGCAGAAGAAATGGGGCATGGGGGGGGCAGGTTGGGGGGGGAGGGGGGCGGGTCCACAGCTGGAGGCTCACACAGTGTCCAGCTGTGCACCTGGCCCTTCCTCCCCAGAAAGTGCTCCCTCAGGCCCCACGTCCTCCACTCCCCACTCTTCTCAGACACATCAGGCTGGCTCCTGCCTCAGGGCCTCCACACTGGCTGTTCCCTTTGCTGGGAAAATTCTTCCCCTGAATGTCCATGGCTCACCCCCTCCCGGTCGGCACAAATGTCACCTTCTCCGGGAGACCGATCCCGACCATCCTTTAAACTATTGCGGCTGGGCGAGGTGGCTCACGCCTGTCATCCTAGCACTCTGGGAGGCCGAGGCGGGCGGATCGCTCGAGGTCAGGAGTTCGAGACCAGCCTGAGCAAGAGCGAGACCCCGTCTCTACTATAAATAGAAAGAAATTAATTGGCCTACTTATATATATATATATATATAAATTAGCCGGGCATGGTGGTGCATGCCTGTAGTCCCAGCTACTCGGGAGGCTGAGGCAGGAGGATCGCTTGAGCCCACGAGTTCGAGGCTGCTGTGAGCTAGGCTGACGCCACGGCACTCACTCTAGCCCGGGCAACAGAAGCGAGACTCTGTCTCAAAAAAATAAAACACTGCAACCAGCAGCGCTGCCATTCCCCTTTCCTGGCTACTTTTCTCCAAATTACTCATCACCGTGTGACTGACCCCACATACATTTTTCTGTGTCTTTGCTCTTTTAGAATTCTAGCTCCCTCGGGGCGAACGTTTCGGTCAGTTTGTTCACGGTTATATTCCTAGTTGCCCGGTAAATGTTTGTCCAAAGACTATATTAATTTGTAGAGGGATCTAGTAAGAGTTCACCGGGCTTAATTTTACCCAATACCGACCTGTTTCAACTTCAAGCCCATGGCCTTTTTGCACTCCATCACCAAAGGAATTTTGTCAATTTCTTCAACATTCCATAGTCTCATGGTCTTATCCTGGAACAAGGTAAACGGCAAGCCAGCAGTCACAAAACAGGCTGTGGTACGTCCATTCAATGGCATACCATTCAATGATAAAAAGGAACAAGCCATCGAGCCACGCAAAGGCATGGAGGGACCTTAAATGCATACTGTTAAGCAAGAGAAGCCAACCTGAAAAGGCTACAGACTATAATCCCAACCATACCACATTCTGGAAAAGGCAAAACTGTAAAGGCAATAGAGAGATCAGGCGTTCTGGGGGTAAGTATGAGCAGAATTCTTCTGTATGCTACTGTGATGGCACATGCATGACATGCATTTGGCACAACCCATGGAACTGCGCAACATGAAGAGTGAAACCATGTCAGTTCTGGATTTTAGTTAATAATAATAATCTGACACTCTGGGAGGCCGAGGCGGGAGGATCGCTCAAGGCCAGGAGTTCCAAACCGGCCTGAGCAAGAGCGAGACCCCGTCTCTACTATAAATAGAAAGAAATTAATTGGCCAACTAATATATATATAAAATTAGCCGGGCATGGTGGTGCATGCCTGTAGTCCCAGCTACTCGGGAGGCTGAGGCAGCAGGATTGCTTGAGCCCGGGAGTTTGAGGTTGCTGTGAGCTAGGCTGATGCTATGGCACTCTAGCCCGGGCAACAGTGAGACTCTGTCTCAAAAATAAAATAAAGATTATTCCAGAAAGGAATGCAGTCTTGCTGATACCTTGATTTTAGTCTGGTAGGACTTTGTTGGACTTCTAGCTGGGGACCAGGGAGAGAAGAGGCATGCTCTGATGCAGGCTCTACTTTTTACAAAGGAGAAAAGCAGCAACAGGACTGGAAACATGAGCAATTTCATTCCTTTGCATGTGGAGAGCCAGTTTTTTCAATACCCTTTGTTGCAAAGACTGTCCTTTCCCTATTAAATGGTCCTGGAACCCTTACTGAAAATCAATCGACCACATACGTGAGGTCAATTTCTGGGCTTTCTATTCTATTCCATTGGTCTGTATGTCTGTCCTTATGCTGCTACCATACTGTTCAGTTACTGTAGACTGGTAGTAACTTTCAAAGTCAGGATGCGTGAGTCCTCTAACTTTATTTTTCTCTTTCTCCTCCTTCTTCAAGATTGTTTCGGGCATTCAGCGCCCCTTGCGATTCCATATGAAAAGGTTGTTGGGATTTTGATGGGGATAGTGTTGAATCTGTAGATTACTTTGGGTACTACTGACATCTGAAACATGTTAAGTCTTCCTATCCATGAACATAGGGTGTTCTTTCCATTTATTTAGATCTGCTTTAATTTGTTTTAACAATGTTTTATAGTTTTCACTGCACAAGTCTTTCACCACCTTGGCTAGATTTGTTCCTAAGTATTCTTTTAATTGTAAATACCATTGCTTCCTTTTTCAGATGGTTCATTGCTGGTATATAGAAACATGGGTGATTTTTGTGTGTTGATTTTGTACCCTGAAGCTTTGTTAAATTCATTTATTAGCTTAGTAGCTTTCTTGTGGATTCTTTGGGATTTTCTGTATATATGATCATGCCATAAAACTATAGAAATAGTTTTATCTCTTCCTTTCCAATTTGGATGCCTGTTGTTTCTTTTTCTTGTCTGATAGCTATGGCTAGCACCTCCAGTACGAGACTGAATAGCAGCACTGAAACGCATTCTTGTCTTGATCCTGATTTTAGGAAGAAAACTTTTAGTTTTTCACCATTGAGAATGATGTTAGCTGTGGGTTTTTCATGAATACCCTTCATCAAGGGGAAGAATTTTCCCTTTATTCCCAGTTATCTGGGAGTTTGTTATTATTATGAAAGGATTTTGGATTTTTTTTTTTTTTGAGACAGAGTCTCGCTTTCTTGCCCAGGCTAGAGTGAGTGCGCGTGGCGTCAGCCTAGCTCACAGCAACCTCAAACTCCTGGGCTCAGGCAATCTCTCTCTGCCTCAGCCCCCAAGTAGCTGGGATTACAGGCACGAGCACCATGCCCGCGATCTAATTTTATATATATATTATATATATATTTGGCCAATTAATTTCTTTCTATTTTTATGGTAGAGACGGGGTCTCGCTCAGGCTGGTTTTGAACTCCTGACCTTGAGCAATCCACCCGCCTCGGCCTCCCAGAGTGCTAGGATTACAAGCGTGAACCACCGCGCCCGGCCAGGGTTTTGGATTTTTCCAAATACTTTTTCTGCGTCAATTGAGATGATCAAATGTAGGCTCCGCCCCCTTCCCTTGTTCTATTAATGTGATATATTACATTGACTGATTTTATATTGTACTACCCTATATCCCTGGGATAAATCCCAGTTGATTATGGTAAATAATCCTTTTAATGACCATGAGCAAGAGCGAGACCCTGTCTCTACTAAAAAATTAGAAAAATTAGGCAGGTGCGGTGGCGTGCGTCTGTAGTCCCAGCTACTCGGGAGGCTGAGGTAGGAGGATCACTTGAGCCCAGAAGTTTGAGATCAGCCTGGGCAACATAGCAAACCCCCACCTCTACAAAAAAAAAAAAAATTATAAAAAATTAGCGGGGCATGGTGGCTCACGCCTGCAGGCCCAGCTACTCAAGAGGCTGAAGCAGGAGGATCACTTGAGCCTGGGAGTTAAGAGGTTACAGTGAGCTGTGATTGCACCACTGCATTCCAGCCTGGTTGACAGAGCAATACCCTGTCTCAAAAAATAAATAAATAAATAAATAAAATAAAATAAGCTTGGCCACCTTACCCTTGAAGCAGATAGGATCCATTTCTTGTCCTTACTAATGGCAACATCCAACACCCAGTCTGCATGGCCCTAAAGAAAAATAAAATCTTAATGAGAACTTAGAGAAGATGCCTTTATAAACAACAACGGAAACAAAACCAACAACACCAAAGTCAGACACCCAGTGCTGCTTACGTGGAAGAACAACTAATAGTGCTTCCCTGGTTCCATCAGCAACATCCAAGGAGGAATGCAAAGTGTAGAGACGTCATGTGTGTGTACATCCTGGCACTGTGTGTGTTTTTATTTATTTTTTTTTAGTTTTTTTATTCTTCTGTTTGTTTTTTTTTTTTACTTTTTTTTTTTTTTTAATAACCCAAGACTTCTGTTTTGACTAGAATGTTTTTAAAAATAGTACCGTGTTTCCCCGAAAATAAGACAGGGTCTTCTTATATTTATTTTTCCTCAAGAAGACATTGTTGGGCTTATTCTCAGGGCATGTGTTGTTTTCCCCTCCAAGCCTCAGCTCGCAGCACGCACAGGGTGGCCGGGACCCGACAGGGGGAGCCCACCTTGTTGGTGGGGCTGCCCGCACCTTTCCGGTCACCTCTGGGACAGCAGCTGCCACGACGGGGCAGACGAGAAGGGCTGCTCGTCTTCTTTCCCACTCCGCCATGACGACACGCACGGGTCGTGCAGACGCGCTGCGCAGCCACACCTGTCACTAGGGCTGATTTTCAGGGTGGGGCTTCCATGGCGCAAATGCTCAGACATCCTGCTAGGGCTTATTTTACGGGTAGGGCTTATTTTCGGGGAAACACGGCATGTGGTGTTTATTTATTTTATTTTTTGCATTGCGGGGCAGGGGGGAGACCTTCCAGGGAGGACCAGAAAACCTGCTAGACAAATTCTACAAGAGCTGCAGTGCTGCATCAGCACTGTGGTGTTCAGCAGGATGGAACAAATAAAAAGATTATGTTCCCAGCTGGCCAGGTTTTTGTTTGTATTCCTTGTTCTAGGAAATGCCACTCAGAGGTCCTTTGGGCTTCAAGTGACTGCAAAGCCGATCTGCCATGGCTTAAGGACATGGGGAGCCGTTTTCCCCGGGTGGAAAGGAGCCCAGAGGAGACAGATGCCATTGCTGTTTGACATTCGGCGATGCTGGGTTCTGTGTTGGCATCTGTATCTCTCTTTGGCCTTCCCCTCCTGGAGAGAGGTGGAAGGCCAGTCCACGGCGTATGTTAGGAGAAAAAGGAACAAGAAAGAAGATTGAACTGCCGGTGTTCAACAAAAAGACAGGAATTGGAGGATGGAAGAATAGAGGGAGGAGAGGAGGAGGAGAAGAGACTAGAACAACCTATTATGGGGACAAAGGGACTTCTAAGCACAGGGACATGTAACATTTGGGGGTTTTTCGGTTTTTTTTTTATTTTTTTATTGTTGAGACAGAGTGTCACTTTGTTGCCCGGGCTAGAGTGAGTGCTGTGGTGTCAGCCTAGCTCACAGCAACCTCAATCTCCTGGGCTCAAGCGATCCTCCTGCCTCAGCCTCCCGAGTAGCTGGGACTACAGGCATGCGCCCCCATGCCTGGCTAATTTTTTTTCTATATATTTTTAGTTGGTCAATTAATTTCTTTTCTATTTTTAGTAGAGACGGGGTCTCGCTCTTGCTCAGGCTGGTTTCGAACTCCTGACCTTGAGCGATCCACCCGCCTCGGCCTCCCAAAGTGCTAGGATTACACGCGTGAGCCACCGCGCCCGGCCCAAGCATTCAGTTTTAAATGTCTATTTGCTGTGATATAAACTCCCTGTGCCTCCCCAAACCCTAAGAGAGGAGGGCTGAGACAGACCAGCCCCGCGGGCCCGAACACCTGCTGCTCAAGGGGACATCGTCCACTTTGGGTCCCTGGGGACAGGCAGACCAAGCGTCCTGGGGGCAAGCACTAGCAGCCAGAGGTGGCCGTGAGATCGTGCATCCAGGGGGTGTGCCGAAATCTCAGCGAATGGGGCGCCTGGAACAGGGTCACGGGATGAGCCCAGCCTGGGTCCCCTGTCACAGCACCACTTTGAGTCAGAGCTCCTCTGACTTGCAGCCAGAAGGACTCAGTTGACACCCCTCCCCCCCTGCGTGCTGCACTGCGGCATTCATCCCTCTGCATGGTAATCTCTGCTATTCTCGGACAAACCTCGGCGTTTTTCGCATTTGCTATTCCATCTGCCTGGAATGCCCTTCCCCGGGGTCCTCACTTATCCAGTCCCCCCCCCCCCCCCCGGCCATCCGGTTCTCAGCTGAAAAGCCTCCTTCTCCAAGATGCTCTCCCTGCCCGGGCACCGTGGATTGGTCCCCGGGGTCTGTTTCTATCAGATCGCCCTGTTGTGTTTCTCTACTTCACGCCCAGCGGTGGGCGATTTGCTTGCGGGTTTCTGGCCCGTCCTTCCCTGCAGACGTGCCAGCTCCATGGGGAGACATCTAGGACTGTCTCGCCCACTGCTGTATCCCCAGCACCTGGCACCCAGCACCCCAGCACCTGGCACCTGGCACCCAGCACCCTAGCACCCAGCACCCCAGCACCCAGCACGGAAGGACTAAGGAATGAAGCCCAGTTCCTCTGTCCGGCGCTGGCCTTCGTACCTTCAAGGACAGCTTCCGGTAGCCTTCTCCTACATCCCAAACGGCCACGGACTTGTCGAGCCCTCCGGACACGAGGAAAGAGCCTGCAATACACGATGGGAGAGTCGGGGCTGGGGGTCATCTTCCCCCAGAAGATGGGTGGCCCTAGAGCAGGCTGAGGGGGACTTGGGGGGCAGCACCACAGCTCACTCTGATGACACTGAGACCCCTTTCTGGTGTGGCTCGATGTCCCCCGGCCAGTGACAGCCAATTCCCTTCATGCGTTTCGTTCTATAAAGTTATGGCAGACACCAAATTAGCAAATACTGAATCAGCAAAAGCCGAATTAGCAAATACTGAATCATTGCTCCTTGGAGAAAGACAGGGTTAGGGCCGGGCGCGGTGGCTCACGCCTGTCATCCTAGCACTCTGGGAGGCTGAGGCGGGAGGATCGCTCGAGGCCAGGAGTTCAAAACCCGCTTGAGCAAGAGCGAGACCCTGTCTCTACCATAAATAGAAAGAAATTAATTGGCCAACTGATATATATAGAAAAAATTAGCCGGGCATGGTGGCGCATGCCTGCAGTCCCAGCTACTCGGGAGGCTGAGGCAGGAGGATCGCTTGAGCCCAGGAGTTTGAGGTTGCTGTGAGCTAGGCTGACGCCACGGCACTCTACCCAGGGTGACTGAATGAGACTCTGTCAAAAAAAAAAAAAGAGAGAGAGAGGAAGGTAGGAAGGAAGGAAGGGAGGGATGGAGAGAAAGAAAAGAAACAAAGAAAGGAGGCTGAGTTGAGAGGCCGAGTGCAGAAGAGCTGGGCTCCCAGAGCAGGCCACGTTGAGCTGAGTTTCTGCCAGTTGTAAACCTGTGCCTGTGAATTTCCGTCTTGGCTTATTTTGTCCTTGTGGGAGAAAATCCACCCTCACCGTGGGCCCCACGGGGAAGCGCCCCTCTGTCTGTACTTGGGGAAGTTCGAGTGCACGGAGCGCGAGCAACTGCGCCCGCCCCTGCCTTGGGGCCGGAGCCCGAGCCCGCGCCGGCGACTCACTGTCTCTGGCAAAGCAGCAGCAGCTGACCGAGCCCTCGTGGCCCTGCATCAGCGTGGCGCAGGCCCCCTGGTTTCGAAACTCGCCCGTGTGGACGTTCCATATCTTCAGGCTTTTGTCCCAGGAGCTCGTGCACAGGAAGTGGCCGCTGAAGGTGAAACAGCAGTTGGAGATGGCGTTGCCATGCGCGCTGAAACACGGGAGGAAGGGGTGCAGCGTCAGCGCCTCGCCCTGCAGGACCCCAAGACACAAGGGGACATCCCGCCCTGGGAGCTAACGGCCACCGCGCCTGCCATCCCCGTCTGCCGCGGTCCAGACTCGACCTGCTCAGTCTGCGCCGCGCTGTTCCGGCATTCCTTGACCACACCGGGGTCGCGTGCCGGAGCGTCTTTGCAAGAGGGCGGCGCGTCCTACCTGTCGTGCGATGTGCTTGGCAGCATCCCTGGCCTCTGCTCACTAGATGCCAGTAGCACCCCTACACCCGGCTGTGACAACCAAAAATGTTTCCAGACATTGCCAAAGGTCCGCTTGCAGACAAAACAGCCCCCCACCCCGTGAGAACATTCCAAGATATTCAGAGCTGCTTGCGGCTGCCGGTGGCAGTTCATGGACTAACGGCCTCTCCGGCCTGGTGCTGGGTCTCACTGCACACAAAAGCTCTCTCCTGCTCCCCCTTTTCCCCCCGCCGTGCCGGGCTCCCGCGTCCTACCCCCTCACTCATCTACTTCCCTACCCCAGCCGCCAGCTCCCCATCTGTCTCCACTGCCATCAAAACATCTTTTTTTTTTTTTTTGAGACAGAGTCTCACTTTGTTGCCCAGGCTAGAGTGAGTGCCGTGGCGTCAGCCTAGCTCACAGCAACCTCAAAATCCTAGGCTCAAGCTATCCTCCTGCCTCAGCCTCCAGAGTAGCTGGGACTACAGTCATGCGCCACCATGCCCGGGTGGCTCAATTTTTCTATATATATATAGTTGGCCAATTAATTTCTATTTTTAGTAGAGACAGGGTCTCGCTCTTGTTCAGTCTGGTTTCGAACTCCTGACCTTGAGCGATCCTCCTGCCTCGGCCTCCCAGAGTGCTAGGATTACAGGCAGGAGCCACCGAGACCGGCCTAAAACATTTTTTAAGGTTGTACATTTAATTCATAAAGTTTTGGGTTATTCATTCTCAATACTCAAAAGTCTTCTTTTCTGAAAAAGAAGTCAGAATGTTGCCACTTTTCGTTTGTGATCCTCCACACATATTTTTCCTGTGATTCTCAACCTCGCCTTATCAGCAGAGTTTTCAAGCAAATCTATAAACACAACTGTGCCCCATCTGAGTACTCTGGATCCCACAATCAATTGTTTTGTCTAAGAAGAAAAGGTTGCCTGAAACTGTTTTCGAGAGCTCAGGTCAGAGTTTGGGACCCCGTTTTGGTTCTTTGAAACGCACCGGCTGAGAAAAGGCCAAAAGAGAAGAAATAGCCACTTCCCCAAGGGTGCCTGGGACACACCTCCACTGTCCCCAGTGCCCGGGGGGCTGAGCAGCACCCCGGAACATACTGGTAGTTGACAACGAGCCCCCCACCCCGCAGTTCTCCGTGATGGGTTCTCATTTCTGATAAATGCCACCTCTCACGAAAGACCTTCTTACTTGTACAAAAGTCTGGGGGCAATGCTTATGTTGCACGTGCAGTTCAGGACAAGACGGAATCCATGTGCCTCTCCCTGTTCCCGCTGCTACGCACGGCCGGCAGCCCTGGACGTCATGTATGAAGCAAATACCATGTCTCCCCAAAAATAAGCCCTACCCATCAAATAAGCCCCGGCAGGATGTCTGAGCATGTGCGCCATAGAAGCCCCACCCCGAAAATAAGCCCTAGTGACGGGCGTGGCTGCGCAGCGCGTCTGCACAACCCGTGCGTGTCGTCGCGGAGCGGGAAAGAAGACGAGCAGCCCTTCTCTTCTGCCCCGTGGAGACAGCTGCTGTCCCAGAGGTGACCGGAAAGGTGCGGGCAGCCCCACCCACAAGGTCGGCTACCCCTGTCGGGTCCCGGCCACCCTGTGCGTGCTGCCAGCTGAGGCTTTGAAGGGAAAATGACACATGCCCTGAGAATAAGCCCTAGGGTGTCTTCTTGAGGAAAAATAAATACAAGACCCTGTCTTATTTTGGGGGAAATACGGTATGAGAAGATGGTGAAAGGAAGGGGGAAGAGGCAGTTAGTGATCTTGGAACCCGGGCACAACACACTGTGAGTTCCCTGCCTTTCTTTCTGTGCCATACATCCTGGACTAGGCTGTGGAAAAGTCTGTAACCAAAAACTAACCCAGGCCGGGCGCGGTGGCTCACGCCTGTCATCCCAGCACTCTAGGAGGCCTAGGCGGGCGGATTGCTTGAGGTCAGGAGTTCAAAACCAGTCTGAGCAAGAGTGAGACCCCGTCTCTACTATAAATAGAAAGAAATTAATTGGCCGACTAAAAGTATATAGAAAATATTAGCCGGGCATGGTGGCGCATGCCTGTAGTCCCAGCTACTGGGGAGGCTGAGGCAGGAGGATGGCTTGAGCCCAGGAGTTGGAGGTTGCTGTGAGCTAGGCTGACGCCACGGCACTCACTGTTGCCAGCCTGGGCAACAGAGCAAGACTCTGTCTCACAAAACAAAAAACAAAAAAACTAACCTAAACTAAACAACAAACCATATTAGGTATAAGAAAAAAAAAAAAAAAAGAGTCCCCAGCAAAAGCCAGCTCTCCCTGGCCAAAGGGCCGGGCTAGGGGCAGCCTAGGAAGTCAGAAAACTTTTGGAAAGTAACTGCCTTACCCCAGGCAAACATCTCAGCAAAAACCATAGCCCCAGCCCCAACCCGGTGAGCAAGTCGAGTGGGAGCCCAGCCGCCACCTCGCCAGGCTGTAGAAGGGCGGCCCGCTAAAACTAAAGATTTTAATAAGACCCCAAGTGTCATCATTCCCAAAACTCCCAGGATGCAACTGAAAATCACTCCTCCCAGCAAGAGCCGGGAAGGCCTGAGCATGAACCAGAAAGGTCATCAACAGGTGCGAGCGCTGAAGCAACACCGATGCTGGGAGGATCTGACCAGGATTTTTAAGCCGCTTACTCGGACAGTTAGAATTATGCTTGAGGCCGGGTGCGGTGGCTCACGCCTGTCATCCCAGCACTCTGGGAGGCCGAGGCGGGCGGATTGCTCAAGGTCAGGAGTTCAAAACCAGCCTGAGCAAGAGCGAGACCCCGTCTCTACTAAAAATAGAAAAGAAATTAATTGACCAACTAAAAATATATAGAAAAAAAATTAGCCAGGCATGGTGGCGCATGCCTGTAGTCCCGGCTACTCGGGAGGCTGAGGCAGGAGGGTCGCCTGAGCCCAGGAGTTTGAGGTTGCTGTGAGCTAGGCTGACGCCACGGCACTCACTCTAGCCTGGGCAACAAAGCGAGACTCTGTGTCAAAAAAAAAAATAGAATTATGCTTGGAACAAACGAAAAGACAGAAAACCTCAGCGCAGACATGGAAGACATAACAACCGCCGGCCTGCCTGCCTGCAGACCACCCGTGAGGTGTGGTGTGTCCAGGTGTGTCCAGGTGTGGGGCTCCAGGAATCCCGGAGGGAGGGCACACGCGTCCCTCCCACCTCCCTGCCTCGGGGCGCTGCCAGCCTGGGGCGGGGCAGGGGGCGCCCCTCACTTGGTGATGGTGAGCAGCGTGGCCTGGGACGTCACATCCCAGATCTTGATGCACTTGTCCAGCGAGACGGAAGCCACCCTCTGGCTGTCGGGGTCGAAGCAGCACGCGGTGATGGACTTTCTGTGATGATCTGAGGCACAGGGGGCACGCGGCTCCTTACCACGCCGCCTGCAGCCTGGGCCTACGGGCTGCCCGCCCAGAGACGATGTCACCAGACGCAGTTCCAGTTTTCATGAGGGACCCTGCACCTGCACGGACGTCTCCTGCGTGCCTACGGTGTGCCAGGCTGCGAGCAGGGAGCACCTGGCCCACCTGCCCTCGCCGAGTCCCCAGTCTGATGGGGGGGGGACTCCCTCGAGCAGGCAGTGACCTGCCTCACGCCAGGAGAGGAATGAGAGGAACCTAAGAGGTCCCCCCACCGGCCCCCGCCCAGCAGAAGCCCGGCCCCACCCTAAGGGGTCCAGGAAGGGCCCTGGAAGCCAGCGAGGGAAGCGGGGGAGGAGGACTCCCCAGGCAGAAGGAACGGCAGGTGCAAAGGCCCGGCGGTGGCCGGAGTGTGGAGAGGAGGCAGGGGAAGGGGGTGACAGGCGGCTGTTGCCACGGCAGCCGCATCACACGGGGAGCCCGTGCAGCCTCACCTTTGATGAGCGAAATGGTGCTGGCGGTCCTCGCGTCCATGATGCAGATGGCGCGGGCCATGTCCAAGCCCAGGGCCACGTACTTGCCGTCAGGGGAAAGCTTGCAGGAGATGATGAAGGAATCGTAGTCCGTCTGCCACTGCAACGGGGCGGCCATGGGAAGGTGGTTTTCTCTGTGCGAGCACTGTGGCCACCGCGCGCTTGTCATGGGCCAGTGCAAGCAAGGAGCTGGATTTATAAGTCTGCTTAGGTGCAATCAGTTCATTTAATGAGTAACTGTAAAGCATTAATCTGTGTCTAGGAGGGATGAACAGGGTAGGGAGAGCGCCTAGCGGAACTGGCAGCCAGGTGCTAGCGATGGCGGCTATGCCCGCTCAGGCCCATAAAGGGCTGTTTATTATTCAATGTCTGCCCTGTGCCTGGGAGTGTGGACAAGACACCCCAGCCCCTCGCTGTCCCCTGGGGGGAGGCTAGCGGCAAACCACAAGCAGGGGACAACGAGCTTCTCAACAATCTAGGAAAGGGGAATCTCTCCATACTTTATACATTATGGTATCACTTTGGCAACAGCTTCTAAATATGCCCACAAACCCTCCTTCCAAACAAGTGCAGCCTGAGGCCACGCCCCTCGAGTGCTGGGCTGGGCTTCGGGACTCCCTTCTTTTTTTTTTATTTGAGACAGAGTCTCGCTCTGTTGCCCGGGCTAGAGTGAGTGCCCAGGTGTCAGCCTAGCTCACAGCAACCTCAAACTCCTGGGCTCAAGCGATCCTCCTGCCTCAGCCTCCCGAGTAGCTGGGACCACAGGCATGCGCCACCATGCCCGGCTGATTTTTTTCTATATATTTTTAGTTGGCCGATTAATTTCTTTCTATTTTTAGTGGATACGGGGGTCTTGCTCTTGCTCAGGCTGGTTTAGAACTCCTGACCTCGAGCGATCCTCCCGCCTTGGCCTCCCAGAGTGCTAGGATTACAGGCGTGAGGCACCGTGGCCCGGCCAACCTTTCTAAAACTTTTTACAATGAATAGAAACTGACCTTTGCACTAACAAGAAAAGTTGTTTTTTTAAGGGGAGAAAAGAAGAGGAAGGGAGAAGACAGGCTGCTAGAAGCTACCAGCCAGCAGGGGTGGGGCAGGACACCCCGAGGAGGTCCCCCTTCCCCCAGCAGGCCGTGTGGGTGTGGCATTGGGACAGGGAGGGGGTGGCAGGCCTGTTGGATGGGCGGATGGTGGCCCCGTTCACGACAGAGACCAGATCGGGAAGGCCCAGAACCCTGCTTCTTTGGCCACCTTCTGCCTCATGGAATCTAAACATCCACAGGGAACCCTGGAATGCCACCCTGCGGCCACCGCTACTTCCGGCTTCTGTGTACCCAAACGCTTCCCGTCTTGCTAACCGAAGCCCTCGATCTGCCTGCTCCGGGACGCTTCTCCAATGCCCACCCTGCCTCTCCGGCGCCCCCCACACCCTGCCAGCGGCTGCCGCAGGGCCCAGTCCACAGCCACATCTTGGGCCCTAAGCAAGCTCTCCTTTCCCGGAAGACCCGGGCCTCTGTCACCTCCCCCCACCCGGGGGAAACCGAAGGCCCCATAGAACCTCCGGCCACGCCGCCCCACCAGGCAGGGCGCACGTACCAGTGGCTTGCCGGTCTCCAGGTCCCAGGCCCGCAAAAATTTGTCATAGGACGCTGCGACGATTCTGGAGATGAAATGACAAACATCGGGTGTTGACGACAGGGAACAACCATGCCCGTGGTTTCTACGGGGACTTTCTCTTCTTTTTTATAATGTAGGACCAAGGTTGCTAGTCATAAAACAGCCTTCAAGAGATGCTCTTGGGGCCAGGCGCGGTGGGCTCACGCCTGTCATCCCAGCACTCTGGGTGGCCGAGGTGGGAGGATCGCTCGAGGTCAGGAGTTCAAGACCAGCCTGAGCAAGAGCGAGACCCCCGTCTCTACTATAAATAGAAAGAAATTAGCCAGACAACCAAAAATATTTAGAAAAAATTAGCTGGGCGTGGTGGCACATGCCTGTAGTCCCAGCTACTCGGGAGGCTGAGGCAGGAGGATCGCTTGAGCCCAGGAGTCTGAGGTTGCTGTGAGCGAGGCTGACGCCACGGCACTCTGGCGCTGCCAACAGAGTAAGACTCTGTCTCAAAAAAAAAAAAAAAAAAAGAGAGAGAGATGCTGTCTGCACCAGGTGGGAGCATCCTTTGAAAACGGAGAGAACCCGACACACAGACAGCAGCCTTTTTGTTGTTGTTGTTTTTCTGTGATGTACTTTCTTCTTCTAAGGGGATCCCTGCAACTCAGAAGCACAATCGCCTCCCTCTCTACCCACACATCTCTGTGGACGGGAAAAGGCGTCAACACACTGCTCGGTCTGCTCTGAAGGATTTTCTTATCCGTTTAGCAAAAATATACAAATGTGCTTTTGTCTTCTTTCTCACATTGTACGTTTCCGTGGAGTGTTTGTCCTCTATAGAAGTGGGCTCAACGGCTCTGAGCAAGTTAAACTCCCCTACTAGTTTTTTGGGGGTTTTATTGTTCGTTTGGATTTTGGTTTTTTTCAATGGACAGGGTCTCACTCCATTGCCCAGGCTGGAATACAGTGGTGGGATCATAGCTCACTGCAGCCTCAATCCTGGGCTCGAGCGATCCTCCTGCCTCAGCCTCCCCAGTGGCTGGGACTACAGATATGTGCCCAGCTAATTTTTCTATTTTTGGTAGAGACAGGGTCTTCCTGTGATGCCCAGGCTGGTCTTGAACTCCTGACCTCAAGCGATCCTCCCACCTCAGCCTCCCAAAGTGCTGGGATTACAGGTGGGAGCCACCGTGCCCAGCCCCCATGCTGGTTTTCTGCTAACTAGTTTTACAGCTGCTGTTGATGGTAAACGTAAATCCATTTTAAAGCAAACTCCCTTGTCTGCTAAAGGCCCATCTCATGTCTGCGTGAGTGGATTGGAACAAACGCACCCTGGAGACACTTCTGTGTGTGTCACTGCTGCTGAGCCCTAACCCTTCCCAGCTGACAGCCCGGCATGCCTCTGCCCCCCACCAAGCCTCACCTGCCCCCGAGAAATGAAGGCTTGAATTGCTAGAGACTAAACTGCTAAATGCTTTGCAGGTGCAACCGTCTTACAAGCGACTATGGAAAAGAAACCTTGTAAAGAAAATCCAGACTGGCTTTGCATTAGCCACAACAAATTTTTCCCTCTTAAGCACTTTATGTTTTCGAACTGTGACCACATCTGCCTGATTCTCACAGCAAAAAAAAAGGAAAACCAATCTCAGACCCATATATGGGACCGTAATTGTATGCTTCCTTTAAAAACAACCCGCCTGCCTGCTCACTCTCCCTTTCCCCACCGGGGTTCCAAGAGGAACCTCCTGCTCACCTCCTGCTGTCGGCTGAGACGCTGCACTCTAAAACGGGAGCTTGGGGCTTGGGCTTAAAGTCGTGAACCAGAGATCCACTAACAGCATCCTGGAAGCAACGGGAGAGAGAGGGGGGAGAGAGTGTTCACTGCTGTGTTTGCAGAAGTCGAGAGCCAGGGTCGACACCAGCCCCTGGCTTGTGTCCAGCAGTGAGGTACAAGAATCCCACGGTCTGACGACTCTCACCCTTCCTCCAGAGGGTGGGAGGGCTTTCCCACATCTCTCCCCCACCACTTGCAGCACCCTGGGGAGGCTCTCCCACAGCTCCATGGGTGCCAGGTGGGAACTGGGAGCCCAGCCGCAAACAGATACTTTAATGGGGTTTTTGTTTGTTTGCTTTTTTTTTTTTTTTTTTAGAGACAGGGTTTTGCTATGTTGCCCTGGGCTGGATTTAAACTCCTGGGCTCAAGGGATCCTCCCACCACAGCCTCCCAAGTAGCTGGGACAACAGGCACGAGTCACTGCATCCCAAACACATCGATTTTTCTGTCCTCTACTGGCCAAAGGTTTTCAGAATCTGGCAACATCTTTCAAAAACTTTTTTAATCGCCTGTAATCCTAGCACTCTGGGAGGCCTAGGCTGGTGGATCCCTCAAGGTCAGGAGTTTGAAACAAGCCTGAGCAAGACCCTGCCTCTACTAAAAAACTAAAGAAAGAAACTAATTGGTTTCTTTCTACTAAAGAAAGAAACTAATTGACCAACTAAAACTATATATAAAAAAATTAGCCGGGCATGGTGGCACATGCCTGTAGTCCCAGCTACTGGGGAGGCTGAGGCAGGAGGATTGCTTGAGCCCAGGAGATTCAGGTTGCTGTGAGCCAGGCTGACGCCACGGCACTCACTCTAGCCTGGGCAACAGAGTGAGACTCTGTCTCAAAAAAAAAAAAAAAAAAAAGAGAGAGAGATGCTGTCTGCACCAGGTGGGAGCATCCTTTGAAAACGGAGAGAACCCGACACACAGACAGCAGCC